GTTTTCCATGACATGTCCTGTTTAGAAAAGGATGAGTACAAAGATAGAAGGAAGGGCACAGAACCAGGGACAAGCTGGGAAGAGTGACACGTTTCTGTGAGGACAGCGCCCAACTTGAGCCAAGCTTGGAAAAAAAAAAAACAAAAACAAAACCCCAAACTGAAGTTGGTTTAAAAAGTGAAAAAAAAGTGGTGGTGGGTTATTTTTAGTTAAGATTTGAAAAGGGATGAGGGCCGTCACTTAGGGATCTTGGTAGCATGTTAAGAAGTGAAAGTAAGGGGACTCAACCACCCTTTGTGCCTCGCTTCTCTGATAAACCAAAATAGTTTTTAACTAAAAAGACTTTTTTTTAAAGCACTGAAAAATATAAGCAACGGAAAAGTTGGGAATCTCAGTGATAGTTGGGGATCCCAAAGCACCTGGCTGGCAAGCATGAAGCCCTGGTAAGAGGTCTGATCCCTAAAAAATAAAAATGAAACACTGGACATCCAGGGAGGAGGTGTGGTGTAGTAAGTGGTTTGTCCTTTTAGCTACTTCAATCCAAATCTCCAGGCACTACAAGGCTCACATTTCAGAGTTCTGGGCAAGCCTAAAATGGACCTAGTACTCCAGACTCCTGGGTACTAGTATAGAGAGGGGGAGTCCAGAAAGCTATTTCTGGCAAATGTTCTAATTTACCCAAGAAGGAAAGAAGCAATTCCTACCGTATGGACCACTAAGTCTGGCAAAACTGCAGGCCACATATAACTTAGAGAAGGTTCCTAAATCCTTTGCAAAGGAAAAGATGAACTCTGAAAACTGTCAGGGATGTGTGCAAAAGAGGTCACACTGCAAGTCTCTTGGTTTTTTGCCATACATGCTACTTAAGGAGGTGACGGGGGAACGTTATATACAGCAACTAAGTATTTTGAATCCAAAAAGAAACAAGCATTGGCTCTGTCTCTATTAGTTCCTGGGTAACTGGGATGTGTGATCCTAGGGTTAAGGGGTTCCCATAATTGGACTTCATACATTTTTTTTGTTGCTGTTTTTGAGAAAAAAAATCCACCAGTTTGAAACTTTTGAAATATGTACAGTATTTCTTTTTAAAGATACCCTATCAGGTATTCAAATATTACATGGCTACAAATGAATTGTTTCTACTTGCATGTACTTTTTCCCACATTTTTAGCATGTTTTGTTTTTGAGTCACTTTCACAAGGTTCTACAGATTTTTTTTTGTACTGGGAATCGAACTCACAGCCTCGCACTTGCTAAACCCCAACCCTGTTCTACAGATTTTTAAAAAATAAATTGCGCACTGTTATCCTCAAAGTAGTTGTTCAGATTACAAGATACAGACATTAAAAAATGATCAAACAATTGAACAATGAAAGCACGAACTGTTCTTTTTGATGAACTAACAGAGACTAGTAGTATAATTATCTATCTTGTGTATGTATATAATCTCTTTTTTCCTTCCCACTATCTCAGTCATTCTTTCCTTTTGAGCAGTTTCTTTCCCTTTCATTTTCACAATACCTATTGTACATTTTGGATATTATTGACTCTTTCAGTTTTTTACACTAGGAAGACAATACGATATTTACACATGTGAGTCTGATTTATTTCACTTATGAGTGTAGTCTCAAGTTGCATCCATTTACCTATAAAATGAGCTTTCAGATACGCTTGCACCCAGTGCCCTACTGAAAGCCTCTGTTCTTCTCCTTCATGGTGTTTCCTCTGCTATGTTATCCTGCGTGTCTGGCTGAGTTTAATTCAAAACTCAGCTCAAACAGCACCTCTTCTAGGAAGCTTTCTCTTTGGCTCCTGGGTGATGGGAAGTCACTTATCCACACCGGCCAACTGCTCTGTGCACTCGGGGGTCACTATAACAGTATTCATCCTGTGCAGCACCTCACAGCTCATGTTCTGCCTCCCCTAGGACCTGCAAGCTCCTGAAAGGGTTTGCATCTCCACAATCCAGCACAGCCACCAGCTGCACAGCGATCTTCAAGACACGGTAATTGAGTCACTTAGAGATTCAAAGTGAAATGTGAAGAAGGCTGTCTCATTGTGCAGCGCAATTCTCTTAAGCCTCTACTTTTCACCACTGACCAGCTACAACATAGTTAAAAAACTACAAAGGTGGTAGATAAGGGCAATTAGATAAAACGCTCAAAGTTCAAGATCTATCTACAGACTTGTCATAAATTCTAAAAACAGATAACTTTTTTATGTGAGTTGATTTGCTTGATTTTCTTGTAGCATGCTAAAAAAACAAAAACAAAAACAAAAAACAAAAAACCAAGTTGGTTTGTTTTGTTTTTGGGTGAAAAAAACCCAGAAACAGATCATCAGAGGCAACAGATGAATATGTAGGTACTGATGGAAATACTGTATCAATGAACCATATTCCCTGAAGTTTTGTCCAATACTTTGAACTATGCACTGCCAGGGACAGATAATATATTGAGTATATCAAGTATATTATCATGATTTAACATTATCTTACTGACCATATTGCATTGTATAGTGTAATATCAGTAAGCCATTTATCATGTATACTTCTCTGTTTCCAAACTTTACAGACACTGGAAAGATAAAGGATAATCAATTAAAATCTTTTAACAAGAGTAATCATGAAGCTTTATATGAAGGTCTCAAAAAAAAAATTAACCAGCTATCCACAGAGTAGGAGATATCTGACTTTATCCATCCAGTCACCCACCCACCCACTCATCCATCATTCATTCAGACTGAGCACTCACTATGTGCCACAGATTGTGTTAAGATCTACAGAGTTAGTGAAAAACAAACCCAGCTCCTCTGCACATACTTAGGGGAGAAAAGGATAATAAGACAATGAAATAATTTCAAACGCTGATAGAGGCATGAGTAACACAGAACATCGCGTGAGGGGACAGAGGAGGCATCAGGAAAGGGGCTACACGGATGCATCTTTGAGACTTGTAGGGATTTTATCTGAAGAGGGCCTGGTAGCTTATGACGCCATCTTAACAAGCACTGAAAGGTTCCTGACCTAGTATACATTACTGTACGATTATGGCGGGTGGTCTAATGGGGTGGAAGGCCAAAGCAGGAGTGCTTACCACTTCCTGGTTCTTCTTCAGCACTAATTGCAACTCCCTTCCTGTTTACACGCACAGAGAATTCCAATCGGTTCCTCACATGTCATCAGCATCCACCCCATGTGCCATTTCTGATCAGAGGTCATATAACCCTCTGCCTCCCTGTATCCGGTCGAAGGAGACAGCCCAACCGCCATGGGCTGTGTGTTCCTTTCTGTGTCTTCAACGCAATAAACCTGTTCATTTTGTACTTTTTGCTTCTCTATTGTGCCAGAATACTGTAACAAGCGCTAACTGTAGCAACCGGGTCACATTAGCTGGAGCAGAACAGTGAAATCAAGGGTGGTGACAATCCTAACTGCCTCTGTGGAAGGCACCCTCTTCTAGTCCGCCTTGTGCAGGCCATCTTCCTGCCAGGGTTATCGTTTAAGAGAGTCATCAAGTGTATCCAGGAGAGGGGTTTCTAGAGAGGGGTTTCCACCTACAGAGGCAGTGTTGAGACCCAGGGAAGTCTAGTTTGCTGCAGGAACTATCAGCCAGACAACTTTAAAATACTATAACTCAAGATCCAAGATATTTAGCAGAGAATGACTCCATTTCGTGCTTTCCAGGAGTCCAAACCTGAGCTGCTGAGAAGACAGTACGGTATGGTTCAAAACAAGGAAGCTGTTCCTCGTGGAATCAGGGTTACACAGAAATGGAATGGGCTTTTTTAAAAGAAGCATCCCATTCCTAGAAGTAGTCAGAGACTGGGTAGACATCTGTTAAAAATAGTGATTACGGGATTACTACATTGTGCAAAAGACTTGCTTCAAGGACTTATCTTTGGGAATGAGATGGAGCTTTCTATCTCTGAGCAGATGAATTTCTCATCTTGGAACATCAAATCCTCTTTAAAACATCTGAACCACAAACAGTAACGCTGGGTACGTCAGCTTCCTTTCTTAAGAGCTTTCTTAAGAGTTTTCTTGGAAAAGTGATGTCTTAAAGATCAAAGAAAAGTGAACCTTCATTAGTAATGGGGTTATCACTGGGGCAGAAAGATGTCTTGATACAAGGCCTGAGCCAGTTTAGGAATATGTGGACTTCTACCTTCCCTGGCTTTATTAACAGTGAGATGATGGAAGATCCCTTGGATTCCTGCACTTAGAAGTAACCTCCACTTACCAGGACAGTATCACAGAGACTCAAGTACGAGGACCAGGAAGCATGTCAAGGTTTCCGCTAACAAGCATCTAACTAGGAACACTGTGTGATCTTTTTATTTCCGTTGTGAAAGTGTGTAGACGTGTTTTCATGTATACAAGTACAGCTCTCTGAAGTTGGTACCTTATAGTATCAGGTAACCCATATCTCAGGGCTCAGGTCAAAGGCTCAGTTTTGTCAAGGAACTCTGTAGAACTACCCTGTAAGGCCTAAGGCCTCTCCCTCCCTCTGGAATGTGGGTTTATCTTGAGCAGACAAGTGCTCTACTTTTTGTTGTAAATATTTCTTTTTTTTTTTTTTTTCCTGTCTTTTTGAGACAGGGTTTCACTATGTAGTTCAGGCTGGCCTTGAACTCACTTTGCAGCCCAGGCTGGCCTCGAACTCTCTGGGATCCTCTGCCTTAGCTTCCCCAGTGCTGGGATTACAGGTCTGCACCACCACACCTGACATAAGGTTAGGTCTTTTAAGGTTATGTCCACGCTGAATGCCTTACCTGAACTCTGTAGAATGTATACATAATCAGTTTCACTGCTCAATGTAATAATTCTATCTCATCCATATTTGAAATAAAAACTAAATACAAACCTACTAATATTAAAGCTTAATGCAGTGATTAACTTGAATCCCAGGCTGGTATATTTTTTATTTACTTTATAAATAAAACATGGATTTTGAAGAACAGTAGAAAGCATGATAGATAAATTCAGTGAAATACTATACCTGAGCCACACACAACAAAAACAAATAGTGCCAACAGCCATGGTCCTACAGGGTATTTTTCTTCTTGTGGTCTCTAAAAGGAAAAGAGAAAAAGCAAGATTAGATTCATTGAGTCAGTAAACATTATTATTGGGAATTGGGCTGGGTGCTACTATGAATGAGATAAACTTGGCCTCAATTCTTAGTGGACAAATACAAACGTATAAAGTCAATTACAGAGAATTAAAGATAAGTTTAAGAAAATTAATCAACAACTCTTTTAATACCCCTGTAATTTACTGGACTTTGTAGTCTGAAATATTCTTGGGTATGTGAGTATGAATACATACACTAATACAGTGATTTTGGAGACACAATGGTCTTGATGGTTGCTTCCCTTGTTGGAAGCATCCCAAGCCATGCACTTCACCAGGCGGTAGACATCTATTGTCTTCAGCACTCACGACTCATGCAAGGCAAGAATTATCTTTATTTCTACTGTGTAGTTGAGAAACTAGGGTTCCAAATTGGTTATCCTGAGTAAGAGCTGGGAATTCAATCCATTGCTGAGCATTTGGCACCGCTAGAGTCATCCTCTCATTCCCACATCTCTGCACTCCAAGCAGGATCAGGGACACATTTTCTCAGCTCCACCTATGTATCAGTTATTTGTAAAGTCAGTGCAGCAGAAATGTTGGAACAAAAGAAGCACCTCAGCAACTGCGAAGGGATGAGAGCAGCAGTACCCTGCAGTGAAGCGCTAGGCTCTGAACAGCACGCATTTTGGAGAGGCTGATGCACATTCTGCAGGGGGGGATGCAGCCCTAGGGGCCCATGCTCTTCTCAGATCAAGAGCTCCGGGTAAAAAGAGCATCTCTCCACAACACTTCTAGGTCCACGGGCAGGTAGTCTTTCAAAGCCACTCCATCAACGGAGCAACACAGTTTCTGAAGAGGCATCAGGAAAAGCAGTGATTTATCAAATAAAGAAAGAGAGTTTACTTCTTCATTAGCTTGAGCAAAAGATAGGTTGTAGTTAACCTAAGAATTCTCTCCCTCTCTTTCTCTGTCTGTCACATACACCCTTCATACCACATTTCCCACAGAAAAATATCATATATTTACAAACGTTTAGTTGTAATAGAAATCATAAAGTCCAATTTCATATTTCAATTAAATGTCACTGACATTTTAAAACGTATAAAATATGGGCTAAAACTGAGTTAACGTTTATATGAATTAAAAAAAAAAAGAGCAATACTGTTATTGGGGACACAATTTTCTGAAATGTTCAACAAGTTTTAGTAAAATTTTTGACAAAAAAGATGTAATTGTCCTTTGATTTCCACTAATTTATAAAATGGAATTAAGCTCATAGAATGAAAAAGCGGATTTTCATTTTAAGAACAATCCATGTTTTGTTTTGTTTTTGGTAGCACTGAAGATTGAACCCAAGGCCTTGCCTGTGTTAGGCAAGCACTCCACCACAGCACTGCGTCCCCAGCTCAGCTCCTCGTGTTACCATAGATAAGCGACAGTTTGGTAGTTCTCAGCTCACCTGCATATTCCTAGACAGCCTGACCTTTTTTTTTTTAACCTCAGATAAGTTCACTCACCATTTGCATGGTCCTGTAAGTTTTCTTGACAGCATTTATTATCGTTTATAGCCCTACATTTACTTTTGTATGTGTTTGTCTTCTCTCCATTAGACTCGAGGGCCCAAAAGGGAAGAAACTGCTTCTTTTTTAGATACCAATGGATAACAAACATTGGCACAAAACTTAACTTCTCATTACAGAATGAATAAATGTGCAATGCAAATTTCGTCAAATACAACTTCTTGGGTCAAGTAAAGTCTGGGTTTAGATAAGGTATTACTATCTTTTAATTAATATTTCCTAGTTGGTAGTAGGGTTATCTTTGCATTTCTCTTACTAGACAGGTATCAAGTGTCAGGGTAGGGACTCTGACTAAGGATTAAAGCCATTCACTCTTCTGTCCTTGACAGGCTTTGTCTACCATCATGTATACTCTGGCAAGTCATACTGGGAGGTGTAACAGACTGCTGTTCTTGACCAGACAGGAACAAAATCAGTCTTCAGTAACTTCGATGAGGTCAAGTTCAGATTAAGGTACTAAATAAAGTTACCCCACTCCACCCTCTTCTACAACTTTTCTAACAATTTATCAGAGTTGTCCAGAAATCAGTTTTGTTGCCATCTTACCACTCGTGCTGCATAAAAAAATTAATTCTAGCACTATTTTCAGCAAGCCGACACCTGAATTCGGGAGCCCATAAATCAGTCTTTACGCTAGCACAGTTTCCAAGTGGAGTCCTTCATTTTTTATTGGTAGAAAAGTAGAATTACCAGCAGGTGGAATTCGGAACAAATAACACAGAAACTTTTTTGAAGAGATTCTCTACTGGACTTTCAGGGCTCATAAATACTTAGCTGATCACAGTATCAACACATTCATTTTTTAATTTTCCTGTACTAGGGATATGAACTCAGGAGTACTCTTAACACAGTTAGCTCTACCTCTTTATTCTTATATAATTTAATATTTTATTTTATTTGAGATGAGATCTTGCCAGCTTTCCCAGGATGGCCTTGCACTTGCAATCATACTGCCTTAGACTGCCAAGGTGGATATTTCTTTTTTTAGAGCTTTGGGTTACTGGTTTTTTGGAGGGGAGGAGTGTGCAGTACAATCCCATTGAGACAGTTCATATAAACCTAACTGTGTTGCTTGAAAGGGTAAGGACAAACAATAGCAATTCTGCAAATGACAAGGTTCACTTAGAACCTTAGGCTCCAAAATATCAGGAGATGGTTTTCCCTATGATAAGATACCAGCTGGGTAACTCAGAATTCTGGGATTCAAATGTCTTTTTCACTATGGAGGGTGCACTACTTCCAAATCACAAAATGATTATTCCATTTCTTTGTTCTTAATGTGCTATTCGGGAGAAAAATACTAACTCCAAAGCTGTTAGCTAACAATGAACCACTGAGGCATTAAAGGAGAAGTTGATTTCTGAACAAGTAATCTGAATTTTCAGCTGAAATCTGTAAATACCTTCCCATTTACTGAATTTCATTCTGGGTAAATTGTCTTTTCCAAGTTACTTCTATCAAAGTATAATAATATTTGACTTGTAATTGGGAAAATGAGATTCAGAATTTATAGTTTCTTTTTGAAAGGGAATTTCATTTTTCTTATTGGCTCTGGACTCATTTAAAATAAAGTTAACCAAAAGCTCCTTTAACCAATTGAAAATGAACATGTATTGTGGCTTTGTTGGGAAACCTTTCATTACAAATTTAGCTGTAACATTTAAAAACCCTCACTGGCGCCAGTGACTTATGGTGGGACCACCCTGTGTTATAGCAGATCCTATTAAATGTAATCATCCTATACATTAAATATAATTTAAATGTAGGTCTGAAATTTGAGTTGAGTTGAATTGCAGACGACCAGATATTTATAAATGTTTTCTCAATTTTCCTGCTTTCTTTTCTCATTTTGTGGCCAATAATTTTTGATTTAGGGCCAAAACATTTTCAAATAGTCTGTGAAAAGCTAGACGTGGCAGACAATGAGGCTACACAGGGTACAATGGCCTGGCAAATTAGGTCTTATTTAGTTGTTACTTTTGCAGACAAATTAATTTGTCAACTGAGAACAGTTAACAACTGAATTCTGATTCCTTAGTTCATTAGAAAGAGCTGCATATTTTCACTGTGTCAGCAAGTAAGTTTGATTCTTTCCGAAGCAAGAATTGATATCTTGGGAATATAAATCTTGTGCCTTTAACATCAATTAAACATTGCTTTTCAAAATGAGTTCAGGCAGCAACTTTTTCTGACTAAACAAATAGGGGAAATGTAAATCTACATAAATAATTGTTCCAATTCAGTGTCACATTGGCATTTTGCTGCCCTAATTACAACTAAATGGTCTATTTCTAAATGAAGGAATTTTAAGGATTAAACTTAGAACTATGTATAAAACTCGTGAGTTTAATCCAAAAGTTTCTACGCCATGAATACAGTTTAGTCTTACAAGAATCTCAGTGTGATGACTGCAGATCCAGTTCTTTACTCAGTTAATCAAACTAACATAATTTCTTTGGCTAAAACGAATGCCTCATCAAATCTGCCAGCTTTTCAGCCTAACCTGGAGCTTCAGCTGGACTTCTAGCTAACTGTACAGACTAATACATTCCAGGCGCCTTTGCTCAGAGATTTGGAGACCAATTCTGCTCAGCAACCCAACAGCCTCAGGTTTCTCTGTGTTCAAAGTCGCAGGGCTGGCACTGTCTGTGAAGACGATGCGCTTAAAAAAAGAAATCCATGTTCATAAATTTAATCCCACTTATAAAGTTCTAATCTGGGGACATAAAACATATACTGGTCTCTAAAATTATACCATCACTTTGAGCCTCATTTCAGTGAGTATTCATGAGCAATGCTGTACTTAAAACTTTAGCCTAACGTTGAAGGGAGTCCTCAGAAAACAGAAAAAGGAAGAAAGAGGGAAATGTGGATCAGAATCTCACTCCGCACCGTACTTTTTCAACACACACCAATCCACAGAGGCTGGGAAGAAAACACTTCCAAGGTGTGCGTAAGGCCAGGGACAGAGTTCAGGAGAGAAGGGTGATAAGTGGCTTCCATTTCCTCTCATTGATCATCCACCGTTCTAACGCCCACCGGGTTCCGCCCCAGCGCACACGCAGTTGGTTTAACGGTCCCTCGGGGATGTGACTTTCCGTGTCTCTGGAGGACACCGATCTAACTCTCCCGTGAAGCGCCCCCATCCTCCAAGGAGGCCCAGGCAGCCCCTCCCAGGGGAGCCCCGGCCAACCAGCACCCACCCCGCCCACCAGGGCGGCAGAGCTGCGCCCCCAGCCCCGCCCGGCCGGCCGGCCCGCAGCGAGCCCCCTCCCCGCGGGGCCCGAGGCCGCGCCCCGCCGCCCGCTCGCCCCGCCCCGCCCGGCCGGTCCTGCCCGGTCGCGGCCGGCGCCGCCCCCTCTTACCAGGGTTTTGGCTACGTTTCCCCGCTGGGTGATGTTCTTGCTGTGCTTCTCGTTGGCCATCCGGATCCGCTGTTTGGCCACCATGGCTTGGGCTCTCTGAGCGGCTCTGGATCCCGCCTGCAAGGACCCCCCCGTTAGCGCCGCCCGAGGCCCCCAAGCCCGCCCGGGCGCTGCGGTGGCCAGGCGAGCCCCGCGCCCCGCGCCCCGCGCTCCGAGCCCCGGCGAGCCGGCTCCAGAGAGAGGCCGGCGCCGGACGGAAGTAATCTCTCCGCTCAGGAAGCCGCGCCGACTTCCTCGCCATCCTTCCGGTCCCCCCGGCACCTACCCGGCGCGGCCACCGAGGCCGGAGGCAGGCGCGGTCGCGCGTCCCCGCAAGAGCGGCCGAGGCACCGCGCAGGGCCCCGGGTCGCCCGCGTGTCGCCGTCTCGCGCCGCGCGGCGGTTCCGAGGGTTTGCGCGGCGGCCGAGGCGTTGGTGCGCGTGGGGGCGCGACGGCGGGGCGCGTGGGGCCCGGGAGGACCAGAGGCGCGGCCCGGCCCTGCCCAAGGCCGGGTAGACCCGACGCTGCGGTGCCCGCGCCGGTGGGCAGCCAAAGAAGTCTGCTCCTGAAGTCGGGGAAGGGGCTGCGCTGGGATGCACGAAGGGACCTTCAGGGAAGTTCGAAGAGGAAACCAGGAAGCGCTGTGATCAGAATCCCGCGGGTGGAGTGAGCACTGGCCTTCCCGCCTGGTGGCTGGGAATTACCCTGACGACAGGCCAGGGGTACGTCTGCGCGCCACACTCAGAAGGATGCAAAAGCCTTTGGGCCTGCACCCCAGATCAGTTTTGGTGGTCACAGCCCACAACCAAAGCTTTGACCAGCCTTGGCTCCCCACCTGCCCCGGGATAGTTTAAGCCTCCCTCCCGTAGCCCAGCGGCCTGAATATAGACTCCCAGATTAAACTGCGAATATCCAGGTCGTGAAAGAACAAAAGCAAGAGTTTGAGCCTCCCAGATTGCTGTTCGGATGGTACAGATTGCCCCCAGGGCTCAGTCTTCCAGGTTTCCACTGTTGAACACACTAGAATTAGGTCTTAGAAGCCCAGGAGGGGAAACAGGGCCAATAACTTTAAGAGCCTTGGAAAATTAGACCCAGGTTAAGGTGAGCAAACACTAGCACCAGTGCAGGGAAGGAGAGCTGTGGCCGCGGGTCAGTTTGGCTGATAGTCCTCCTCAGTTTCAGTTTCAGAGGACAGTTTCAGACCTCCTCCTGCAGAGGTCCTTGAGAATGACAGTGTCTTGCAGGGGCAGGATTCTCCCCAGTGGGATGTTAGGAAGAGCTCCTCTCTCTGTGCCTTCTCTAGCTGGTCCCATTCCCTACATGCTTCTTTTCATTCAAACCTCAACACAGGCCATTTGGGGCTGTGTGCTGTAACCCAGAGTTAAATGGAACCTTTTAGTGTTCTTTTTCATTTTTTTTCTACTTTAGAAGCCACTTCAGTTTGAAATGAGCTTCCACTGACTCTGTAACTGACACCACTAACATTGCCACCAATATCACAGGACCACACACAGAGTCTGCCCCACTTTGTTCTCATGCTTTGCAGAACCACAGGTTTGCTGGGGATAGTGGTGATTCTTAGCACTCTGGGAAACTGAGGAAGGAACATTGTAAGTTTGAGTCCAGTTAGAGGTTTAGTGAGACCCCGTCTCAGAATAAAAATTAGGAAAAAAAAAAAAAGCTAGGTATATAGCACAGTTCCAAGACCCTGGGTTCTCTCCAGAACTTGGCAGAATCGGGGCTCAGAGTCAGGAAAAGATTAGACAGGAATTGTTTTCCCTTTGAGCATCTTAGTAGACGGAAGCCTGCCTTCCTACAGCCTCAAACTTGTTCTGGAAAAATAACTTGACCTTTGATTTCAGCTTGTTACTGACCAGTGTTACTCCTTTATTTTTCACTTTATAACATTTTAATTTGTTTTAATTATAAATGGAATGCATGCTCACAGTAAAGAGCCAAACAGAATGTGAAGTGAAAATGAACTGTCTCCCCCCAAATAATTCCCACAATCACTAGGTCACCCTTTCCATATATATATATATATATATATATATATATATATACAGCCTATTTGTTTATTTCCACTAAAATCTGAATGAACTTATGTTATACAAACTTTTCTGCTGTTTCCTCACAGCATTAGCATATTTTTACAGACTAGCTTTTTTGGTAGTTGCATTATGTCCCACAATATGAGTGTGCAGTAATATATTGAATTATTGATGGGTGGTTATTTACAGTGTGTTTATGGTTACTAACTATGCTTTAGTAAACATATTACTGTATATAAATCTTTGTGCCCTTGTGCAAGTGTATCTGTGTGTAGTATTACAATATGTATAATTGATCTTAAGCAGGTTTCCTATTAGGAAAGCTAAAGTCCTTTATTTGGAGTGGGAAGAGTGTCTGGAGGTGGGTGGAGGGATGAGATAATTTCAGGATGGGCCTATCACCATAAAAACCAAGATAGTACAAGGTTGAAACTCTAAGCCTCATGCCCTACATCCAGGAAGGGGAGAGGGGCTGATGGTTTAGTCCCTCACTAAGACCAGAAGTGTAATCAGTCACACTTAAGTAATGAAGCCTCTGTAAAAGCCCCAAATCGCAGGGTTCAGCAAGCTTTGAATAGCTTAACACACGGAGGTTTCTAGTGGCCGTGGAAGCGTGTGCCCCTTCCCTAGCCTTGTGGACCTCTTCCAGCTGGCTGTGCATCTGTAGGCTTTTCTTTATAACAAGCATGTGAAATGTTTGCCTGAGTCCTGTGAGTGCTCTAGTAAATTAGCTGAACTCAAGTAGGGGGAGGCATGGGGACCCTGACCTAGAGCCAGTTTGTCTGAGGCTCAGCTGACAATTTTCTCCTGTTGCTTACCATCCAAAGGTACAGCAGGCTTGTGAGACTGAACGCTTAGTCTGTGAGATCCGAGGCCATCTCCAGATGGGTAGTATCAGCACTGATTTGAATTTGAGGGTACTCAGCTAATGTCTGTGCAGCGTTCCCAGCGTTGGGAGAAACAGACCCTCAGACATCTAATGTCAGGAGGCAGTTTGGCTGCATGAGAATAGGAAAAGCACTTTATTTTTCCCTGTATCACAACGCTATGGCATTAGATTCCTGAAAGTAAAATTACTGCAATTTCTTGTTTTCTTTGGTGGAGTTGCTGGTGCTGTTTTTTGGTTTGTTTTTGTTTAGATGAGGAATCCGCATGCTGTGATCGTCACTGCTTTTGTCCTCTGCAGTCAATCAGCACTCAGCTCTTAGTTCCGTTTATTTCCTGGAGGATCGCCATTATTGACCAAAAAAGGTTTTCCCTCCTGGCATGGAGCCTCTGGCTTTCTGTAAGCTAGAAGATGTGCAATCCTTCCCCGAGGTCCTTCTACAGGGCAGTTGAGGCCAAGCTCCAGAGTTGGGTCCCTGGAATTCCACGGTAACCGCTGAATTAGGAAAGAGTCAAGCCTAGGGTCATTCTCTGTAGTTGGCAAGGCTCGGGAGAGGAATGGAAACTTGATCAAGAGTTAAAAGTTCCCCTGGGTCAATCTATGTTGGCACAGGAATTTAGTGGCGTGACAGTGTCCAGCTGCAACCTCTAAAACTGCCACAGCCTACTACTAGAAAACCAATGACTACAATTTAAATTTGACTGGAAATGTTTTTCAGCATTTAGAGCAGGGCTTCCTAACCCATGTACTACCTACATCTGCCCCCACTTAGGGCACTAGAGTTGCGACTCTAAAGACTAGGTTTCCATTTGTATAAATGATGTATTGTCAAAGCTACACTGTTGAGCTGTGATGTGGTGGATGCCTATCATCTCTGCACTGAGCATATGCAAACCTTCCTATAGGGGGAATTCTTCCTGGTGGTCAAGTTCCCCGAGGCACGGGGTACCCTGAAGTCAGGGAAGATCTAGCCATCATGGTGGCAAAGCAATGGTAGTATCCTCTTCATTCTGGGGTACCCAAAATCATTACAGTTAATCCCCATTCCATTGTCCAGAGTGTGTAAACAATGGAGATCATTGACTAATGGACATGAAAGGAAAAGACCAGAATGTCTTCCTTGGTCATTTGCCCTTCTAGATCTGGAAAGATTGTCGCGTCACTTGAAGTTTTCAGACATTGTCAGAAAATGATTTTTCTTCAGCTTTTCTCTCAAAGGGCACTTGGTAGACAGGGCTTGGAGACAGAAGCATTGGGTGACAGGGTGTGGTTGTCAGGTATGCCCTGCATAAATAAGGCCAGCTGATCACTGAACTTTGAACACTTGCAATTTCCTCCTCATCCAAACTTGTCCAGTACTGTAAAGGAGAAGAAATTTGGCAAATCTCAGATCTCTCCTTTTGTACATAAAACTTATATTCTTACGGAAATACTCACAGAAGTATCAATATTGGGCAAAGAAAAACAAGAAGAAAGCCACTGCCCAGTGTTACCTGCTGTATACACTCTGTTCAACTCAGTGCACTAGGCTATGGTTTCATGGAGTCCTGTTTTAGTGGAAAAGAAATTGGACAGTCCTTCACCCTTGTGTTCGTGTTTAGCAAGTGTCTGCTCTATACTAATCACCATTTTATTTATTTTCTTTCCTTTTTTTGTGATATCAGGAATTGAACTCAGGACCTTGTGCTTGCCAGGCAGGCATTGCACCACTGAGCCATATCCCCAGCCCTTAATCACCATTTTAGACGCTGAGAATTTAATAGAAGGATGATTGCTTTGGGGAACTCTGTTTTATGTATGTGTGTAAGGGGGATATAAATCAGTATAGACTGAGATTGACCTAATTTCACAAATGAGCATTAATCTCAGAATTGCAAAGGGAATTATGGTAGAGCTGACAGCAATTGATTCCTGCTGACTTCCTGTTTTTGTCATGACATACATCTACCTTGTGAACTTGAGTGGGAACCAGAGTATAAGGGCTCCTCACTAGCTAAGTTTTGGAGCAGTTTATATATATACAAAAAATAAATCACACACATGCACATATGCTATAAAACAGATGAACTACACTTCAGATGAACTTTGGTCACCAAATAATGGCACAAGACAATTTAACCATGCCAATGGCTGTGTAATTCCTTGACCCTTGAGGCAATCAGATTAAGCTTTACAATACAAGCCATTATTACCTATATCACATCTTTAATTGCCCAAGTACATCTGTTATTAATTACAGTAAAATCATTGTATTCTAGAGAGGGGAAAAACATACCTTGCTGCTGTGTTCTCTCTAGTGATCTCACATGGCAGTTTACTCACAGCTGAAGACAGATGGTGCTGTCACAGGTTTGAGCTCCAGTTGTAGACATACCCTTGTTAGACAATGCCACCTCATTTCCATTTGACCAGGTGCATATTTTTAATGGCTGGAACAGTTTTCTGGTAGGGAAGAAATAACATCAATGATCATACCTAGCATTTCCTAAGAAGGCCAGACACTGGACAAACCTTTCGCTTGCACTTGCTTATTTCTACCACGGCCCTGGAAATCTATAGATTCTGGAAACAGACAAATCCTGACTCCCCTGCTTACCAGCTTTGTGATGTGTGTCTTCATTTGCAACATGGGGATGACAGTAAGAATGCTTATTAGGCAGGGTTGTTTTGAGAGTAGGTGAAATAATCCATGTTAAAAACATTTAAACACAAACTCTTAAACAATAGTAATTACATAATAAATATCTCTATTTTACCACATAGGTTTACAAAATTAATAATTTGT